TAAAGGGCCATATGGTGAGTATTGTCAACTCAGGAGGCCAACAACACCTGTCCAGTAGTAGCAAGTACCTCAGGCAGTTTGAAACTCCCTGCCTACAACACGGCAATGAGTGGGTATGGCTGTGCTGCAACGAAACTATTCACACCAGTGAGTGGGTCTGTCTCATCACCAGATCTCACCCTGGCTATGGGCTAACCCAATCTAATGCACATCCAGGGGCTTGAGCACAATCTAAAACCTTCCCAGGACAGAATAAATCTCTCACACAGGGAAAGAAGCATTCAAGGCAACAATCAAAGAAGAAAACAAGGAGAACAACCAGGAAAGAAGCCACCAGCTGGGGAACTTTGCTTTTCTTGCTCTGGGACGTTTTTCTCCCAGGTAGATGCAAAAGTCCAAAGGAGCTGATGAGGGTCCTAGGACAGCTGAAGAGGAAGATCCTGTTTTAAAAAAAAACAAGAAATTATTTTTAAAAATGGTGGTTAAAGGATAAGGTAGAGTCTTTGGCTCACTTGTGGACCTACTGGCCCATCAAAGACTTTGAACAATGACAGATGTAGGAATTCTTAAGCTTGGCAAAAACCTACTATTAGAGGCTGGGCGGCAGTGGCATACGCCTTCAATCCCAGCACTCGGGAGGCAGAGGCAGGCGGATCTCTGGGAGTTCGAGGCCAGCCTGATCTACAAGAGCTAGTTCCGGGACAGGCACCAAAGCTACAGAGAAACCCTGTCTCGAAAAAATAAAAATTCCTACTATTAATAGTTTCAAACAGCTTGTCTTGTTGATGGGTACTTGCAAACCCAGAATTTGGGAGATATGGGCAGGAAAACCAGGAGTTCAAGACCAGCCTATGTCACTTGAAATCTAATCTCAAACCACCCATTCCTCTTCCTCTCAAAACTATTGACAATAAAACAATTAACTCTTTACCCACCTCTCCTATACAAAGAGTAGGGCCAAGATTTTGTTTACATTCTTGGGTTAAAGACAAAACTTCATTAACTTCAATATCAATTTTTTAAAAGGATTTAGAATATCATTAGGAGGGGCTGAAGCTCTAGGATCAGTCTGTTAAAGAGAAACCTGAGAAGGAATCTCTTCTTGTATGTTGGCAAAATTCTAGAACTGGAACAACACTCACATATAAAGTGAGACCACAAAATCAGAATGTTAAATCAAGAATTAAATCATGTGACTTTTAAAACTAAAGTAATAATTTTAATACATATCTGATGAAGTGGGGGAATTAAGTCTTTATTACCAATTGCTTCAAAGTTGACCTTTAAAAGAACTTTGCGGGCCGAAAATTTACACAAATGATACAGTACTTACTTAGCCCTGTGTCAATCCCTGGATTAGATCCCTAGCATGAAAACAAACACACAAAGAACATGAAACAATGAACTCAGATTCACTAACCTATATCCAAGTCTAGGTTACAAGTTTGGGATGTGGTTGATAAAAACACGTTCCTCGTTTCATAAAATGAGTGCATTCTCCTGGGATGCACTTTACTTGATTCTGCCTAATACCTTTCCAGCATCACAAATAAAACACATGCTATTACAGTAAATTAGAGCAGCGTTTGATAAGAATGAGCTTCCTTCCACAATCCCATATCCCAGAGATTAGATTCTAGCATGTGTGCCATTTGTGGATGCTCAGCTTTTGGGAGGCAGAGGCAGGAAGAGCAGACATGAGAGATCATCTTCCTCTATATATGGAGTCTATAGTCAATCCAAGCTACCTTAGACCTTGTCTCGAAAAAAAAAAATGTAATTTACTATCATCACCTGTATCTTAAAATGTTATCAATCAAATAATTAAAACCATTTTTAAAGACACAAAGGTGTCAAATGAAGCCTAAAGTGTCCGTTTGATGTCTTGTCCTTACCCCTCAAATGGAAAACACTACTACTATTTCCTATGAATCTTAGAGTATAGCATACATGTACATGTACACCGCTCTTACTTGTCCATCGCATGCATATTGCCCCTTATTTGACATACTTTTGTGGATCATACTTATTTAGCCATCATTTTAGAAATCCATAGAGGTTCAGCAAGTTCTTTGTAACTACAGCATCATCCTGGTTCACTGCTCACCGTAGCAGTATTCTGTTGACTGTAGCTATGGATGCCGTTTTCCCTCCGACAGCTCTAGCCTCTGAAGCACTCCCAGCTCACCTACTCCCTTACCTGTGAGCAGCAGAGTGACACCTGAAATGATGGCATGAAGACGCACCATGGTGTTGACCAAAAGGAAACGTGAAGCCGCTCTGGTTTGATGCGACATTCCGCACATGGTATGCGGTCGGGTCTTAATTCTCAGAGCGCAACTTCCCATTTCTTGATAATGTGAAGCAATGTGACCTGCTCTGATGGGACCGCGAGACAATCATTTTCAAATCCTTCTCCAGGGCTCTGTTGGCCCCTAGTGGTGTAGGGCTCTGTGCCTTCCCAAGTACATGAAAACCTGTCCTCCAGAGCCTCTTCTTTACCAGTCCCTCCCCATGTACAGCCGTCACCGTCACCCTTGGTCTTAGCACAAATAAGGCAGCACAGAAAGAAAGGCAGAGATAAGAGAATGGAGCCTTCTAAAGACAAGATGCACCTGCCCTCTGGTGGACAAGGCTGGTACTGCCCAGTAGCGGTTGGTCCCCAAGACAGAATCAATTTCATCATTAGCAAGATGGACTGAGCAAGAAGGTGACGCACTGTGGCTATGCATTCATGCTGTCACACACAGCGACTGAGACCACATCTTCCTGAGAGATATCTAGACACACCTAGAAAAGCACTTGGTATGGATCCAAACCTTCCTGTCCACGAAGCTGGGCAGCCCTGAGAGTTGTGGTACCCCTCCAAGCCTTGATAACTCTTTTGTTAAATAGCACTAAGTACATTTGCTTAGTCTTTTGGGGATTCTGCTGTGAACTGGATTCAAGGCTACTTACTCACAAGCACCTAATCCTTACAGAACCCCAGAGGCAGAATTTTGGAACCCCATTGGTGGAGCAAAGATAGTGTGTTCATTTTCTAGCTTCAAGCTTTCAATTTCTTAATGTAAAGTATAATTATTTGGGTTTCATAAGTAGCCATGTATAAATGGATTGAGGTTATTTAAATAATATGCCACTAAAAGATAATTCATTTAGTTTTATTAAAAACTTAAATATTTTTGACTTTTTGATTTTTTTCTTTAATGCTTATTGCTCCATGTAAATGTACATATAAATATGTAACTACAAATTGGAAACATGGCACAGTTATGAAGAGTACCAACTGTACTTCTAGATGACCCACGCTTCATTCCAAGTATCCACACAGTGGCTCACAACCATCTGTTACTCCAGGTCAGGGGAACCTGTGCCCTCTTCTGGTTTCCAAGGTCACCAGGCACATACATGGCACACACATATACATACAGGCAAAATACCCATACACATGAAACAAAATGTTTTAAAATAAATAAATAAATGCACCATGCTGAGTCTGTTTAGCTTTTCATAGGTGTATATTTGTATGGCTGAACATTTCATAGCGGGTTACTAATTAGGAAAATCATCCAGAGAGAAAACTCATTGTCCTTCTCTCAGCAATTATCTGTTGCCTGGAACTCTTCATCTAGGGGTGTGATTTTCCAAGATTTCTCACATCCAAGTTAGTGTGTCAGCTGTCACCATTGTTGACCCTCATTGTCATATGTGGCCACTGTTCGGGTCCTGTTTAGCCACCATGCATTTCTTGGATACAGCTTTCCTGTCCTATGTGGAAGACACAGTACTAGTGGCTAATTCTGATAGGAGGGTATAAGAAGCCACACAAGAAATAAACCAGACTGGGGATCAACAGATTGTTGCTATGACAACAATCTTAAAATGGAAAGTCAAAGATAAGAGGCAGATCCTCAAACCATCACAGAGAAGTTCCCTGGGAAAGGGAACAGGCATGGAATAGGAGAAGGGACAAGGAGAATTCAGGGTATCCTAGAAGCAGACAGGAAGCCAGTGTGGCTGAAGCAGAGAGGATGAGGAGAGGCTGGCGAAGGCAGGAGAAAGGCAGTCCCCTCCTCCAGGGCCAGAAAATGGCTGAAAGGTCCTCAACAACAGAACAGGCCAATCTGATTGATAATTTTTTTCCTGATTGGTAGTCTTGAGAGCTGGAATACTTAGGCCACCTTGTGAGAAGTATACGCTGTCAGGAGAGCTAGAGGTTAGGATTCCTAGGAGGGAAAGGGAGGAAGGCGAGAGGTGAAGGAGCATAAAAGTCACTGGGATTGTATTTGGTTGCCTCGTGGCTGACCCAAAGGAAGTAAACTAACGTCTGAGTGTAAATTCAAAGATCACCTAAGTCGCCTCCCATTGTGCTTCTACTGGACAGTGCTGGTCTAGAAGTACAAAGCAACGTGAAGGGTCATTCCTTGGGTGACCCAGGGACTTTAGCAGGGAAGGCCGAGCCTGGGAGGAGTGTGCATGATTTGAAATGAATGGGGGCGTAATGTAGTGTGACATGCTTCTGATCCCAGCACTCAGGAGGCAGAGGAAGAAGGATTACAGTAGTTGAGGTTCAACTGGACTACAAAGCAAACTGCAGTCCAGCCCAGTCTACACAGCAAGAACTTGTATCAAAAAAAGGCCAAAAAAAAAAGAAGAAAAGAAGGTCAAAGTTCAAATAATAGGTAAAAATTAGAAATGACAACTTGTCAACTTATAAATTATAAGACTAACATAGAAAGCCATAATAAAATAATTTAGAGGTGACACACCTACCATTATCATGTTAAAATAATGAGCAACTTTAACCTGATGCCTCATTACTGAACAGTTAAAAACCCTAAAAATCATATAAGCAGAAGAGTTAGGATACAAATGTACAAAAAAGATTGACCACAGAAGACATAAGTGACCTGTAATAACTTTTATTTTTTATTACACTTTTACACTTCTTTATTTATATACTTTGTGTGTGTGCCATAGGGCACATGAGGAGGTCAGAGCACAGGATAGGGCAATCAGCCTTCTCCTTCCACCAAATGGACCCCTGGGCCCAAACTCAAGTCACCCGGCTTAGCAGACCATGCTTTTACCCACTGAGTCATTTGATAGCCGATGTGACCTTTGTTTATAACAGCGTTAGGCAGGGCTAACACAGGACACAGGATCTGGAAGCCTGAAAGGAACACTTCTGACTCACACTTCCTCTTTGTACAGCTCTCCTGCTGTAAAACAACTGACACCCAAGCCTTCCTCAGCCTTGAGGATCCTAGGATAAAATGGTCACCCCCTCCTACTCTCCCCACTTCTCAGCTGAAACCCAGAAACATGGTGGATCTTAGAACGACGACTTTAGGGCCCCTCTGTTCATCTCTAGAAGGATCCAGACCATTTGCCTACAAATCTGGGGATCTAACTGGGTTCTGCTTTCTCACTGGAAGTCAACAGATGACCTTTCGGAGTAGGCGTGAGGGTCATTTGAGCTTCACCAAACCCTACAGCTATTTGATAGTGATGCTGGATGTTGCTGGAAGTGGTATTATATAATGACTCCACTTCTTGAACTCAAGCCCTAAGCTTAGAAATGAATACATACTGTTATGAGTTGTATAGAAACAAGCTATTTCTACAAGCTCATGCTATACTTATTTTAAAGGGGGAAAATGATTCATATAAACTGTCTTGCTGTTATCAGGAGAACCATTGAACAGCTTACGATGTCTGTCTTGGGAATTTCAAATCTATAAATCATGGGCAGGGAAAACTCCCTTCTCAGAACCTGTCTGGTTGAATAGGAAACTCCTAAGGACTTGTAAAAACAAGTTACACTTACACATTCTCCCCCCCCCCTCTCTCTCTCTCTCTCCTGGGACAAGGTTGGGATTCTGGAAGTGCTTCACCATACCCCATGTATGCAGTGTTGGCAATCAACACAGGGCTTGTGCATAGTAGGCAACTACGACTGGGCGACAACTATTTGATTTTTAAAACTGTTTGTCTATTTACTGGTGTGTGTGGGGTGTGCATGAGTACATATGATGATTGTGTCTGTGCACATGAGTGAAGGCTAGAAGACATCACTGGGTGACCTCCTTTGTCCCCCTCTGTTTATTCTTTCTGAGGCAGAGCTTTTTCAAGAATTTGGGTCTCAAATTTGCTCCGCTCTGCTATCCTGGAAACTAGCAAGGCCAGGTGATACCCTTCAAGACGCATGCATGCACATCCATCAGAGATGAGGTTATAGACTATGTGCAAGACACTCAGTTTGTTACATGGATGCTGGGTTCTGAATTTCAGCTTTCATAATTTTAGAACAAATGTAGTTAACTGCTGAAGCATCGAGCCAGCCTTTGATTTCTTGCTTTTGGGAGGTTTTATTCTTGTTTTTGTTTAGAGATAAAGTATCATACAACCCTGACAGGCTTGAACTTGTTAGAAGCTTTGAATTTTTCATCTTTACTTAACTTATTTTATGGTGTGTATATGATGAGCATATGTGGGCATAGGCTCATGAATGCCACAGTAGGAATGTAGAAATGGAAGACAACTTTCAGGAGGCCATTCGCTCCTTTCATCATGGTTCCAGGGATCAAGCTCAAGCTGACAGGGGCTTGGAGACCCAACTAAGGTGATTAGACCTGCGCTGAGTCTTCTCCAGCCCTTTTTCCTTGTCAGTTTTGTTTTTTTGTTTTTATTTATTTTTAATTTGGCTTCATTGTCTCTTTCTCTCTTTTAGTTTATTTCCATATCTATATATTAGCTTATTTTCATTTTTCATATTACTGTGAATTGGATTTTGTGTTACATTTTTAAAGATTTATTTGAGGTTGTGGTGTGTATGTGTGTGTGTGTGCATACATGCACATGTATGTGCAGTACATGTGCCTAAGCACATGTGCAAAGACTAGAAGAGGGAATCTTGTGTCCTCCTCTATTACTGTTTCCATGAACACCAGCACGTGGAATGGTCTCACCTACATCTAGGGTAGGTGTTCCCACCTCAATTCCCCCAAACTAGAAAACACCTCACAGACATGGCCAGAGCTTTGTCTCCAAGGTGACTTAGACCTGTCAAGTTAGAAATCAATTAAAACAATCCCACCATATAATCAGCCACTCTCCTACTTCTCTGCTAGGCTGGAAGCCAGGATGCTCCAGCTGTCCTCTTATCTCTGCCCCTCCCCACTAGGGCTCCAGACATGCAGTAGATCCCGTCTCATTGCACAGGAGCCGAGTTCCAAACTCTGGTCCTCGTGCTCACAAAGCAGCCATTCTTAACCACCGAGCCATCTCTCCGCCCTCTCCCTTTAAAGACTTTAAGCTGCATCTTTGCCATCTCCAGGGCCATTTATACTATCTCCTTTGGCTCCCTCATTTTTTTTTCCTCTGCCGCTCACCAATTCCATCCCAAATACGTGACAGTAAGTGGCTACAGGTCTAAAACCAAGGGTTCTAAATCCAGCTTGCTGCCACGTTCTGGTGACCTTTACCTTGACCTATTTCTCTTTGATGAGGACAAGAAACAGGAGACATTGTTATAATGCTTAATTTAACTTTTATAAACAAAGAAAAATATTCCAGCTTTTCATAAAGTATGTAAAAGGAAAAATTGAAATATCCTATGGTATTATTATTGATTTGGGTATTTTTTTCATATGCTAAGCAGAGAAATATACAAGCCTAGGACCTTCTTTCTTGTCTTAAAAATGTAGCATTATCTTCTGGCAACAGTACAAAGTCTGTGGTAGAGACTTTGGTTGTGTTTCCTGTTGTCCCTAGAGACTAAACGGTGTCCAGCAGGAAGTAATCACTAATAAAGATCTCCTGAATGAATGGATAAGATCCTTCCTCCTGTTGGATCAATAAGACTTTCACAAGGCCAGAAATGTGATTCATTCTATTGTCCCAGTACCAAAGTGCTGGCACAATGCAACCACTTAAAAGTGTTTGCCAGTGGGCAAGGTAGACACAGCACTCAGGAGGAAAAGGCAGAAAGATTAGAAGTCCAAGGCCATCCTGGTGAATTCAAGAGCAGCCTGGGATATATGAGACCTTATCTCAAACCAAAAGCCAAAAAGAAAGAAAGAAAGAAAGAAAGAAAGAAAGGAAGGAAGGAAGGAAGGAAGGAAGGAAGGAAGGAAGGAAGGAAGGAAGGAAGGGTGGGTGAGCATCAGCTAGCTCTAAGCAAAGCTACCTGGTTCTTTTTAAAACCATATCCATACCATGTGTATTAGTTAGCTTTCCAGTTGCTATGACAAAATACCTGACTGAAGTCTCTTTAAAAGGGAAGGGTTCATTTTGACCTGTCAGTCAAGAGGACATGGTCCATCACGGTGGGGAGACATGCTAGTAGGAACAAGAGTGGGCTGGTCACATGGCATCAGCAGGAAGCAGAAAGAGATGGATGCTGGTGCTAAACTTGCTTTCTCTTTTCATGGAGTTCAAGACACCAGCCAGTGGAATGACTCCACTCACCTCAACTACCTTAAATGCCTCACAGAGTTGGCCAGAGTCATCCCCAAGGTGATGTTTAGATCCTGTCAAGTTAGCAATCGATAGAAACTGTTACACCATGTAATCAACCATCCCCCTATTGCTGTCAAAAGTCCCCTGCAGACACCAGCACAGAATCATTTTGGACCCATGCCCTTGCTTAAAGACTTTGCCCAATAAGAACGCTGAGGGAGGAAACCACTGGGTTGGTTTAAATGTGCTCAAAACCCTCCCCAGTGCAGTTTATAACTTGAAAACATCTGCTGCTACTTTCCTCGCCTGCATGAGAGCCGCTACCTCTAACTGAATTTTGTCAGCTGGCCCCCCTTCCATACACTCCTAAGAAAGCCAGTACCTCCCATAACTAGCTAGATGCAGCCTAAACAACAAATTCCACGCAAGAAAAACTTGTCCAAACAGCCAGATACCTGTGTCCCCATTGACAAGTGTCTTCTGATCTCCACAGTAGCTCCCCAGTGCACAAGTCTTTCGACAAAGCTATCTTTCTGCTCATTTAATTTTTTTTTTTTTGACTCTGGGCTGTTTTATTAGGTTCTGTTACATATGGGAACCAACACAAACCAAGGCACTGAACAGTCATAAGCCAGACAAAATTGGTCTCCACCAGCTTAGAAATTTGGTTTTGTGACCACTGTCCTTGTAGTGGAAGATCTGAGGCTGACGACACAGACGGCTGCCAGGACTCTGCCTTCTTTCAATCAGGAAACAGCATGAGCATCCCAGTCACTGGTTCTTCTTCTGTGAGAAATGCAGCTCCAGCTTCCTCCGGGAATGGAGAAGTTGTCAGAGGCACTCCCCTCTGAGCACACAACAGGGAAGGTCGGACTTCGGCAAGGAGAGTTTCCTTTTATAGTCAGCAGGCCCTGAGGAACCTTTTCTTTTTGTGAAGGGGGGTCTGGCTCCGTAGCTCACAAACTCTCCATGCTCCTGCTTCAGCCTGCTGAGGGCTGGAATTAATGACAGGTTTGCACCACCATGTTCCTACTCAGAAGCGGTCGGGCCTGAGATGGGGGCCAGGGGTGTAGAGATACACACTGCATCCAAGCAGAAGGTCCAGAGAGAACCTTCACTGCTGTCTCATCCTGTTCTCATCCTCCCTTTCTTTCTTTATCTCACGTGTGACCGCACATGTGTGTATGCACATTCAAATATGTGTGGAGACCAGAGGGCAACTGCCATTGTCTTTCCTCAGGAACACTGTCCACCTTATTTCGAGACAGGGGCTCTCGGTGACTTGGAACTCACCAACTAGGTTAAGCTGCCTGGCGACCAAGCCACAGGGACCTGCTCTGTCGCCACTTCCCCATCTCTGAGTTTACAGGCAGGCATTAGCACGCCTAGCTTTTCCGTGTGGGTTCTGGGATCAGACTATGGCTCCTCATGCTTGCACAACAAGCGCTTCACCGTCTGAACCATCTTTCCAGTCTCCCTGTGTGCTTGCTTGATTGTTTTTTTTTTTTTTCTCTTCTGTTTTTAAAGCAAAGTCTCACCACCATAGCTTAGGGTGGCCTTGAACTCACGATCCTCGTTCATCAGCCTCGTAAGTTATGTCATTATAGGCATGTGCCCCTGACTTTTTCTTAATTATTCAAGGTCCCAAATCTCTAGAAAAATCAGTGGTCACTTTAGATTGCCTGCATCCACATAGACCTGCACCTATCTCCCTTAGCCTAATATTCCCCATACCTGTTGAAGAGCTTTGTGGACACACCACAATCCTGAATGTCCAGGTACTCCAGAGATATCAGACAAAGCATTCCTAATGTGTGAAGGCACATGTGAGCTTCAACATCCATGATTAGCACTCTCTGAGTTGGGGGAAGATCCTATCATCAGAGGTAATGATACATTTCAATATAGTATAGGTTACAGTTGAATCCCCTTATGAGCTAATTATCCCTAGAAAACAGGAACACTTCATGGTGGACAGAACCTCCCAAAGTTTTCAGATATGATATATCTCATAGTGTTCAAAAAGGAAAACCACAAAATCAAAAATGAAGGGGAGCCTTAAAAAGCGAGAGCCCAGGGGTGGTCAAGATGGCTGCCCGCTGGTGACATAGCAATAGTACTCATTGGCGTTCTCTATTTCGTAGATGTTCTCCTCGATGGTATAGACGTTTTCCTCTGATCGGTTTCTGCCTGCTCCCGCATTAGTTAGCCCCACTGGAGGGAGGTTGGCCAGTGTGATGAGGCTGTGAAGATAAAAGGCTGCCGTTGACAGAATTCCCAGAGAACAGAGAAGAGAGTGAAAAGAGCTGTCGTCACTGCTGACAGCAGCCAACTGACACTCAGGACCCTGCACTGGGTGCGCACTGAGAGAAACCCAGGCAGTAATTTGGGGAACAATTAAGGACATGTAATTACTCATAATTCTCTTCGGTATGTAAGGAGTTGTAGGCTGAAGGGTTTGGGGTGTGTCAAGATGCCTGCAACATCCTTACGAGTGGTTGAGAGAAAGCCCTGCGCTTACTGAGAACTAATAACACAGGTGTTCCAAGTGATGATTAGGAGTTGAAGGTAACGTGCTTTAACGTCCCTTGGGCTGTTGTTTCAACCCTCTGTGAACTCCAACAGTTTGAAAAGGAATAGGAACCAATCAGGCTTGAGTTGGAATTCTGTGTTTCTTCCCAACACCCAACATCATGACTTGGGTGAATGTGTTTGTGTGTGTGGGAGGGGTGCTCATTTGGTTGGGGTTTTAAATGTTTTTAGTGCTTTTGTACAAAATTAGGGTTCCATGACAACCTTTTTTATAGCCATATATTCTGTGCTCTGCCCATATTCGCACACCTCATCAATATCTCCTGTGCCCCCTCCTCTTCCCAAATAGTCTTCTATCTATTCTCACATCATCCATGTATCTTCAAGACAGTTACACACTGTCCTGTGCATCTGTAGACTCCAACAGTGAACAAAGTACATATATCCACAGATATCTAACTTAGTAAACCCTGTGCCCGAGTTCTCTCAACTCTAGAAAGGGCTGCTGTGGGGAGCACTGGATCATTTGTTCCTTAGAGCTGATCACTGCTATTTGTTAGAAACTGTGCTGGAGTTACAGCAGTCAAACACAGCGTTCTAGTTCCTAGTTCGCGATAGGGTTACAGCCACAGGTCGAGCACATCATTTCACGGATAGCGAATTGATGCCTGTCAGCGCTACCCATGAATATCATGTTTCCAGTTTCACTTCTGATGAAGCACAATGGTACTGATAATTAAATACTATATTTGGATTTATATGACTTTTCACTTTATATTACCTTGTCTTTGGAACATTCTGAATTTTGTTGATTTCTGAAATAAGAGGTGGTTTCTATATTCAGCAGATAATTATATTTTCCATTGAAATATAATTTTTCATGTATTGAATCTTACTAAAACTGTAAAATATCTCTCTCTGTGTCTATCTCTCTCTCTCTCTGTGTGTGTGTCTATCTGTCTCTCTCTCTCTCAGTGTGTGTGTGTGTGTGTGTGTGTGTGTGTGTGTGTGTGTATGTGTGTGTGTGTGTGTGTGAGAACAGTCAGGAGTGGAGTAATGACGAGGATCACCTGAAGAGTTTTGAGAACAATACCATCTCGGGCTCCATCCCCCAAGATCCTGATTCAGTTCCTTTAGGTCTGTCCTGTATCTGCAGGATTAGTGCCCAGGTCATCCTAACACACTGCCACGTCTGGAAATACCTAGGCGGGGCTATAAAACCCTGACCATAGTGGCTTGATTTTTGTTGTTGTTGTTGTTATTTGTTTGTTTGTATTTCGCTCTCATTCTGGTAACACCATGAAAACAGTAAGCACTCAGCTAAAGGTGCAGTTCACTAGAAACTAGAAACAAATATTTTTTAGTAATTAGGCAAACAATAGACCTCAACTTTAGAACTGAGGAAGCTAAATGTACAGGAGGGCAAATATTGAATTTTCATTTCATAAAAAGAGGAAGTCTAACCTAAGATTTCAAAGATCCCAATAGGAACTTCTCGGAGGAAGAATAAAATCATAAGATGGTAGGGATCCCCAATACCCTTTTCCCTCTTCTGTGTTCTTACCTTGAATTCTGTAACTTCTTTTTCTTATAAGAATACCCTGGGTAAAGGTGAAAGAAAAACCAATGAATACTTTTCTAAGATAACTTGAAAAAAAGAAACAAAATGGACTGGTTGGAGATGAGAGCGGCTTGGTGACAACTGACCTTGCCTTAGAACAAACTAAATCACCCTGTTAGCAATCTTAGGACGATATTAACAATAATAATATGGAGCTCTTGCTTAACAAACATTATGAGGACTATTCTGTGTGTGTTGCAGTTTGGTAGGCATCGGGAACACACAGGGCGAGTTGTGAGCGCTGACTCCATGAAGCATGCGTCTGAGTGAGGAAAGAAGAAAGGAGGGAAGGAAGAGTGGAAGAAAAGAAGGAGAGGAAGGACAGACACAAATTATTTCAAACTGCACTGCATTATAAAATGAAACCAGCACCATACTAAACCAGAACCAGAGAAGGTTAGGCGAGCACGGTAAGACGTGACTTTTGAGGTCTGCTCCGAAAGAACAGAATGAGTCACTCATGTCAAGAGCGAGGGCAAACACTCCAGGAACAGAGAAAGCTCGGCAGAGATCTGGGTAGGTGTCAAAACCAAAACGATAATGAGAGCAAAAGAGTGGCCCCCAACAATCTAAGAGGTAAAGCTGAAGCTTGGTCCCATAGGCCTTTTCAGTTATCATCTTGTAATCCCAGCTTTTGGGAGGTGGAGGTAGGAGGATCAAGGGATCGAGTCAAGCAAGCAATCCATGAGATCCATCTCAACCAAACAAACCAACGAATCAACAAAAAAAAAAAAAAAAAAAAGAATTTGGACAGTGTGAGACAGCAAGATCGCTTAGGGCACCATTGAATAACGGTATGATCTGGTTACTATGTAGAGAACTGATTAAAAGGAGAAATTAAAAAAAAATAATAACCGAGCAAGATGCAGAACAATGAAGCAGTCTTAGATCTATTTTGCACAGAGGCTGCAAATGAAGCTGCTTACATATTGAGATGTTGAAAAAAAGAGGATTCTGGGATGACTTCTGCATTTCTGACATAAGAAACCAGAGAGAGAGACAGAGATAGAGAGAGAGAGAAATAATGAAGATTCCAGGGCCCAACAGCTGGGTCCTGGAGGGTGGAATTTGGAAGCAGAAGCCTTGTATCTGACATGACTGTATGAACCTTCAAAGTGGAGCTATTACCTGGACAGACAGACAGGATGCATCAACATTGTAAAAGTTGAAAAGATTAAAGTGAAGATTTAAGTCCATGGAATTATGCTATAGAGTACTTTTTTACAAAGAGAAAAAGGCCAAATCCTGAGGAACTTCAGCTTTTAAACACCAGGCAGAAGACGAAATATCTGTATGATGGGACGGACGGACCAATGAAATACAACAAATGGTGTTTCCAAAGCCAAAAGAAAACATTTTAGAACAAAGTATGGATTCTACTTGGGATATTATTGCAGAAAGACAAAACTATCTGTGACCATTAGTAAAAGGAAAGCAATTTGGGACTGAATAAAACTGTGTCTGTGGCACTTTAAGGATAGAAGTGAGATGGACAGTTCAGAAGGAAAACATAAAGGGATGGAGACTTGGCACAGGGAGCGCCTTTGCTGTTTCCTTGGCTGGGAGAGGGTTGAAGGAGGCTAAGCAGTAATGAAGCGTGGGTGATCATCTCAGTCGGTACACAGTCCACTCGAAAGCCAGAGGACTGATGGGCACTTCCGGGCCAGCTTGTGGCTATAATGTCATGACTTAAGAGCAGGCCACCTCATCTGTCAGATTGCTACCCACAAAATCTAGGGGAAAAAATTATAAACTAAACAGAACATTCTGATCTATTTCTTAAAACAACCCTCTGTGTTTACCCTTATCCATCTAAATCCACTGTGGTTGGTCAAGGAACGCCTACAAACACCAAAGTGTGCTCAAGTGCCTTATATAAAACACCACGAATACCTGTCACATCCTATCACACACTTTAAATGACCTCAAGACAACGTGTAACATCTAGCATGATATAAACGTTATACTTAAATAGTCGCTGCCTTCTTTGGGAGATTAAAAAGTCTATAGATGTTAAGGATAAATAATTTTCCATGGTTTTTTTACTTTATGGTTGAGTCCAGAGATGTAGAACCTGAGTGCACTGAAAGTTAGCAGTTATAAGTGCATTAGATTTCACCCATGCCTCTTTTAAAGACAAGAATGAGTATAGACTTACTAAGCAAAAGAGAGAAATAACTCCCAACATGGGGAGGGACTCCAAGGGAGGACTACCCACCTAACTTCTTACCTTTTACATAAATTACAACAGTTCCTAATTTCTAGGTCTCAGAAGAACTCAAAACGTAGTACAAGTTGTTATCTCTCTTTTAGTAACCTCCAGATCTCATGTTCAACTGATCAGTCCCCACTGTTTCCTGCAGCCTCTGGGTGAGCTCGTGAGAGTGTATATGGGGTTGTTTCTTGGGAAAACCCATTTACCAAGAAGTAGTAGAAAACAATCAGGAGAAACTAGGCTGATTTCAACCCCTATATTCATCAATTAACTTTATGGATTTGGACATATTACTTAACACATCAGCATTCTATCATGGTATCAATTGTACCTAGTATATTTTATATTGTATATCATAGTTAAAGGACCTAACCTCCTTAAAGTCCTCGGCAACTTCAGTCCCCGGTCAGGGTGACCAAGCCATTTTGGTTTTTCTCAGATGGGCCCAGCTTTACCAACGGAAGTTCCACATTTTAGAAACTTCCTTCAGCCTTGTGAAAATCTGAGATGGCTAACGACCCGACATAGATAGTCCCTGTTGTATGTTCAGGAGAAAGACTTGATGTGGGATTCCCCTCTGTATGCTGTGAATATGTTTTATTACCACTGGTTAATAAAGAAGCTGCTTTGGCCAGTGGTTTAGCATAGCAAAGCCAGGCAGGAAATCCAAACAGAGATAGAGAGAGAGAGTAGGAGTCAAGCAGACTCCGGCCAGCCGCCAAGGAAACAAGACGTGTAGAAAATGAGGAAACGCCACAGTCACATGGCAATACATAAGCTAAAAAAAATGGATTAATTTAAGACATAAAAAGAAGGCTGAGTTAATAGGCCAAACAGTGTTGTAATTAATACAGTTTCTGTGTGATTATTTGGGTCTGGGCAGCCAGGAAACTAAGGGCAGTCTCCGTTCACAAAGGGTGTTGTAAACGCATTACACTCTGGAGAAATGCCTTCTCTGCTCACAGAGAAAAGAGACTATATCACAATCATGAAAGGGTGGAAGGCTTTGGACTTATTTGAATCTTTAGTGTGACAATGGTCTCCAAGTACAATAACCAAACTGAAAATAAAAATTCCCCCTGAGACAGGGTCTCCTGCAGACCCCTGGCCTGGAACTCAGTGTGTAGCTGACAGCTGACGATGGCCTTGTACTTCTGATCCTCCTGCTTCTACCTCCAGGAAATTCTGTGATTACAGAACTTACAGTACACCCCCATACCTTCTTTTATGGGGCTCTTGTGTTTCCTGCATGTTACAAAAATACTGTAACAATTGCACTACATGCCCAGACCTCAAGTTGTCTATTTGAATAAAGACAAATAGTATTGCTGAGTGCTGTGAGAAGAAACCCCAGTCTGGAAGCCCAGGCATGGTTCAGTGTTAAAGGGGCCTGAGAAAGCAATATAGAAATCCACAGAGAGAGAGAGGTTGTGTTGTTGGGCTTCCTAATAAGCATGGGTATATTTATAATTTAACTAGAGTATTTCTTTCAGTGAGTTAGAGAGAGACAGAGAGAAGAGAGGATGGGGGGACGGGAAGAGATGAGACAAAGGGAGGGAGGGGGAAGAAGAGGAGGGAAAAGTAGAAAAGGAGAGGTACCCAAATGCTACAACTCACATGAGGCCAGAGGACAGTCTGAGGGAAGAAATTCATTATCTTCTTCCACCACGTGGGTCTCTCAGATCAAACTCAGAGCATCAGGCTTGTGACAGGCCTTAACCCATCACAGCAGCCCCAGGATTAGCTTGTGTATCTAAAGATAGCCATTCTGGCTGTCTTCCGCACTTGAAGGTCTAGACTTGGACCTTGCTCACAGTGAAACTTGGAGAACTCAGCTGCTCTCAGCAAGCTGTACTTCCCTCTGCCCTAGACTGCCTAGTTTATAACTGTTGATGACTAAGATGTCTGTAAAACATTTAGCACAGTGTCTACCTGCCACATAGGTAGAAGTTTGAAAGATCGCCGGTTATCAGCAATGTGACTGGCCAGTTATGGGCAATGTCTGGAAGGACAAGTGAGTGTCCTTCAGGTTTGCTTAAAAAAATTGTATTTCTGTCTCAGTTTGCACTGCTCCTATGGTAACCATTCTTTATCAGAAAGTAAAAGAAGCACTATGCAGCAACTTACATTTAAGGAATAAAACACCAAAGATGAGTGCCAGGGCCAGCCCAGCAGAGACTCCTACTCCAATATAGACAGCCGTTCTGATGGTTTCTCTGGAGTCCTTCACTTCATCGGTCCATGTGGAAATTGGCTGGGGGACAGAGAACAGGAGTCAAGTTTGAGAAGCCCAGAAACTGGTCATATGCTCAGCAAGTCTTGCGATTCAAGAGGACCACTCTTCTTCATAGTCTCTCAGGATTGCAGGAATGATGAAGCCTCCCTTGAACTGTCCTTTTCTAGATTAGACCCAGTCAGCAGAGGAATGAAACGGGCCAGCTCAGTGTTTGCAGTTAACAAGGAGATAAAGCACCCCGCTTCCTGTGCAGGGAGTATAGAAGTCACTCTGCAGTCCACCTGCCCGCATCCCTACAGAGACTGGATAGTGGATCCTACTGCCTCAAAATTGTGTGTTCAGAGGGAGGGAGTTCCGGAAGTCTTTCAGGGAAACCACCATTCACACAGAAAAACAGTGTTACCAGAGCCAGGACTTTGCAGCCACACAGTCCTCAGCTCAAATCCCACATCCCCAAAAGCTCGGTGACCCTGTGGAGTGATTGAGACAATTAGCGTGGAGCTTATTTCTTTAGGAGCACTCGGTCAGTGGTAAGCACTACTGTTATTTCTCTCATTTCTGACACCAAGGAGTCTCAGAGAACATCCTACTATTTCTAAATTGTTAGTCCACATCCCACCTTCAAAGGCAGTAATAGTAAAGACAGTTTAGAAGAAAATAAGACACTCAGCCAGAGCAGTGAACATTCATAATCCCAGTGCGCAGGAGGCTAGGCCTGGAAAGTACCAAATTGAGGCCAGCATGGGCTACAGAAGGAGACCCCATTTAAAAAGACACAAAGCACTCATGTATATATGGGAACTAATTAGATACAGTAGGTAATGAACAAGAAGAAGACAAGAATGTGGGAGGAGACATGAGAGGGATCTAGGAGGAGTTGGAGGGGGATGAAGTGAATCTTATTGAAATACACTGTGTTGATGTACAAAATAATCTTAAGACTAAATAAAAACTACATTTAAAAACAATAAAATAATAAACAATGAAAGCAGTAAATCTCAGAGGTTAAATCCTCCCTTTAATCACTACACGTGACTTCTGCAAAAGCAAGATGCCTATGTACAAGTACTATGTGTTAAGCACCTGGGACAGCAGAAGTTCTTAAATGTGCTCTCTGTCTCAAAGAGGGGAGAGAGAGACAAGTACACAAGATGCCAGGCACTAACCATGAGTGCTCAAATAAGAGACTGAATTAGATGAATGTAGGGCTCTAGACATGGCCTTAAAGAGTTGGTTTTATTGTTCTTACCTATTTATTATTGGTTTGTGTGTGCACACGCATACATGTGCATCCATGCCGTGGTACATGGTGATTAGAAGACCACTCTCAGGAGTCAGGTCTTCGCCTCCACCATGAGTTCTCAGAATCACACTCGCGTAGTCAGGCTGTGCAGCAAGTGCCTTTACCCACCGAGAAACTCAACGTCCACTCATTGAAGTTGCTACTACTAGCTGGCTTTTTAGTGTTTTTTTTTTTTCTTTGTCTAGTTCAGGACATAATAGTTCAGGACATAAACTCTTGCTTCTGGGTTTTCCTGAGTAGTGTCTTATTACATAAAAATGAATTTTAAAAAATGCAAAATACAAGCTGGACACCCCAGCCCTGTGGAGAAGGAAGTAGGAAGACGGGGAGTTCGTTATCGTTCTTAGCTACATAATAAGTTTAGGACCAGCCTGGGCTACGTGACACCTTGTCTCAAAGCCACAACAAGCTCGAAGAGGAAAACCTGAAAATAAAGGACAAGGGACCTTTCACAGTGACACATAGCAGTGGCATTTGCAATGAGAGATGAAAAGCTTCTTTCTTCTTGGGGGTTTTCCACACTTAGTACATGCCAGAAATCTCACACACACACCCAACTTCTATCAGTAACAGGCCTAGTATGGTCAGACCTGTCAACACATGAAAGCCACAGAGTATTAAGTCAAGAAAGGTACAAGCTTTCCCACACAAAGGGTGCCCTGGAGGAAGTCTACGCTCATCATAATATTAGCACACACACCAAAGTTACTTACTGTTTGGCTTTTATCCTGGAGGGTTCCCAGAGTCTGTGTCTCTGTCACACACATATACAAAGGGGAGGAAGTAGACAATAGTTAAGAATGGTTTTTAACTCCAGATCAAAGAAAAAAATTAAACATACTAGCAATCCTGTTTAATACTAATTCGTCTCCCTATGTTCCACAAAAATTAGAAGACCAACAAAAGACACTGAATGCATACAAACCAATCTCAGGGTGGTGTCCTTCCACACAGATAATCACCTCCTCTATCTGTTAGGTCTTAAATCCAGGACAAATGGCTGAGGTGCCGATTTAACATACCAAAGCAGACCTAGCTGCCAGGTTCTCCCAGCATCCCTCAGTCCCTACAGGTTACAAGGTATGACAGGCATACCCCACCCCCTACCGTGAACTCTCTAGCCCAGGAGCTGGATTACCCTTCCCTATATAATCCAACCCTTCGGGCTGGGCCATTTCTTTTTTATCCATTATCCTCCAGGCCTCTTAGTGTCCTCGGCTCCTTTCCTCTCCCCTCCCCTCTCCTCACCCGGCCCTACTCAGGGTCACCTCTGGACTCTCCCAGATGTCTTTGCCTCTGGCTATGCTCTCCCTCCTATCTACAATAAACCTTCTCTCCCACCACCTGCAGGAACAGTCATGCCAGCCTTTAGTGATCCAGTAATATTAATATCATTCGGTCATTAGACTTTCGGTCTAATTAGACTTTCAAAGACACAAAACTCTGGGAAAAGTTTAACATTTATTCATTGCCACCGTATTTAGTTAGCTGCTTTCAAATGGAAACAATCGCTAGGGTTTACCAGGGGCCAGGCATTTTGCCAAACACTTTTAAGGAACTATCTCGTTCAGTATGAAAAGAACTGTCCTAAAAACACAGACTCAGAGAAAATGAGTGACTGAGTGTGACTTCCTCAGGTCTGAGTGATGAATGTGTCATCAAAGAAGCTGGGAGGGAAATTCACAAATTCCTCAAATTGAATGGAAATGAAATACAGCGTAGCCTGCAGATATAGTGAACGCACTGTAAGAGGGAAGCTTTAGCTACGTACAGGTCTGCATTTAAAACATCAGAGAAACCTCGAGGTCTTAGAAAAGCAAGAACAACTAAACCTAGACGCTGGGGTAGGAATTAATGCCAGTACAAAGAATCAATGGAAAGATGGACCAAATCAGTAATATCTTGGCCAAATTAACCAAAAGAGGGGGAAAAAAAGACCCAAATCCATAAAATTAGAGAAGAAAAGGGAGACATTACAACTGCTAAAAAAAATGGCATTTAGAAAATCATTATGATTTACTTAAACAGATATTCCACTAAACTGAGCATCTAAAATAATGAATTGGTTTCTAGATACATATGACCTACCAAAATTAAACCAAGAGAATCTTTAACAACTTCAGATTTATAACAATGAAATTGAAACAATAATTTTTTTATTCCAACTAAATAGAGCTCAGATGTTCTCACTACTAAATTCCACCAGACCTTTAAAAAAATAGCTAACACCATGTTCCTTGCATTATTTCATGAATTTTAGATGGAAGAAGTGCCCTCAAGATCATTGTAGAGAGTTAAGTTTGGCTAGCCTGATACCAAAACTAGAAAAGAACATAACAACAACAGAAGGCCAATCTTCCTGATGAAATTAGTCCAAAAATAATCATCAATAAAATATCTGCAAACCTTCCAGGCCAGTGAGCCATGGCAACACAGTGAAACCTTGTCTCAAAAATAATAGTAACAACTAACAACTAGAAAACCAAATTCAATAATTAAAAAAAATTTTTTTGAATTGTAATAAAAATGACTTCATCAACAAAAGCAGGGATGGTTCAGCATAGGCAAATCAATAATAGTAATAAGTCACATAAATTGATTAAATGGCTTCCCTGGACTTTTGACTAAGATTGAGTACAGTACATTGAGGGCAGTGGAGGAAGCCCTGAGTGAATGTGTGCTGATAACATGGGTCTGGCCAGGTCAAAGGCTCCTCCAGTGCCTCAGCCCCATGGATGTGACAAAGCCTTCCTTGGAAGAGGCTCAGGACTGCCAAAGCCTTCCTCAGGGATTCAAGTATGATTGTTGATAGTGTGTTCAGAAAATGTCCACCTTAGCCTCCTCCCAGCCTGACGTTCATAGCCTGAAGCTCTCCTCCAGATCTAGTTCCTACCCAGATTAGCTAAACCTGCCTCCTTGTTCAGCCATATGCAATAGCCCCGCCTCCCTGTTCAACTCTACATAAGAAACGTGCTGAACTTCCCAGGTGCTGAGGCTCCCCCATCCAAGAACCCAGTGCACCCAATCACAGCTTTTCTGCGTGTCTATGTGGGTTTTTCATTTCTTCATACCCCCTCCACTTCAGTAAGTAGTCAAGTCCTTTAGCTGGGCAAAGACGTGGCAGTACATAAAGAGATTTAAGGACAAAAATCAGATGATCATTCTCAGTAGACTCAGGAAGGGCCAGTGACAAAGTTTAGCATGCCTTTATGCTAAAAGAAGTCGAGAAGAAACTAGGACTAGAAGGGACATGGCTCGGCACAGGGGCTGTGGAAGGAGCTGCTCAGTTGATAAAGAGTACATGCCTAGCACTTACAGAAACCCCATGTCTGCTCACAAACACTGCATAAATATAAGCGTGGCGGCCCACGCCTGTGATCCCAGAACTCAGGAGACAGGAGTTCAAGGTCATCACTGACTACGTAGCAAGCTTGAGAACAGCCTGGGCTACCTGGGACTCTGTTTCAGAAAAAAATAAAGAACTGTTTGAGAAGGAACATACCTCAGTATAAAGTTTATATGCAACAAACCCTACAGTCAACATTGTAATAAATGGGGAAAACTCAAAAAACATTCAACTGAAATCAGAAATTGAACAAGGGTGTCTACTTTCTCCATTGCTATTCAATATAATTTTTGAAGTCCTAGCTCAAACAATTAGAAAAGAGAAAGAAACAAAAGGGATATGAATTGAAAATGGAGTCAACATATTCCTATTTGTAGATGACACAATAGTGTACGTAAGAAATACTGAAGCCTGGACCAGAACATTCTTAGAGCTGATTCTCTCAGCAAGCCGTAGATACATAATCCATATATAAAACGCATGGCTTTCTGACATGCCAACAACAAACTGGATGAGAAAGAAATCAGGAAAACAATCCATTAACAATAGCTTCAAAAAATAAAATATATTGTCTGGGTATAGTGGCTCATACCTTTAATCCCAGCATTTGGAAAGCAGAGGTAGGAGGATCTCTGTAGTGGCGTTTCATTTGTATTTTAATAAATAAAGCTTACCTTGAGATCAGAAAAGTAAAACAATCATACTGGTCAGCCTTACAGACCAAGCAGCAATGACACACACCTTTAATCCCAGTAGCCACACTAGCTTGCCATAGAAACCAGGCAGTAGTGGTGCACACCCTTGATCCCAGAACTAGAGAGGATTATAAAACTGGAGGAGACAGCTCTCAGTCACAGTCTCATTCTGGGTTTCCTGGAGGCAGGATCACCATTTTTGGACTGAGGTCGAGGTAAGAGTCAGTGGCTGGCTGCTTTGCTTTTCTTCACTGAACTCCAATATCTGTCTCTGCACTTTATTAATCATGCTTGACATCTCTGTGGGTTCAAGGCCTCCCGATCTACACTGTGAGTTCCAGAACAGCCAGGGCTACACAGCAGGACACTATCTTTAAAAATAAATAATACAGGGGCAGGAGAGATGGCTTAAGGGCACTTGCGGCTCTTGCAGAGGTTCTGGGTTTGGTTCCCAGCACACACATGGTGGCTCATGATCTTCCATAGCTCTAGTTGGAAAGGCTCTGAAGCCCGCATCTAGCCTCCACTCGCACCAGACATGCAAGCGGTGCACTTACAGCTATGTCAGCCGAGCTCTCACGCACGTAAAATAAATATAAATCAATCTTTTTTAAAAACTAAAATACCTGAACCTTACCAAAGAAGTAAAAGAACTCCATAATCAACATTTTCAAAGAAACTGAAGAAACCACCAGAATGCAAAAGACTTCTCATAGAAGAGCAGAAGTAATATGAAAATATCTGTCTTACCCAAAACAGTGTACAGGTTCCATGCAATCCCCCACCACAATCTCATTCTTCTCAGCAAAGGAAAAACAATCCCCAAACTCATAAAGACCTCTAATAGATTAGCAATCCTGATCCCAAGTTGTTTACAGAGACCCATGACAAGCAACACTGAACTAACACAAAATAGGATGCAGAGCTAACAAACAAAGCCATGCAGCGACAGACAGCTGCTGTTTTGACACTCATGCCCAGTACATACACTGGGAGAAAAGACAGCCTCCTTAGTGAATGAGGCTGGGAAAACCGGATTTCTCCATGTGGAAAGACAAAACCAGATCTTTATTTCTCATTCAGTACAAAAACCAACTCAAAATGGGTCCAAGAGCTTAATATAACAAGTGAATCTTCAAAACTTCCAGGGAAATATTTCCAGATACCAGCATAGACAAAATTTTCTTGAAAGGCCCCCAATCATAGTAATAAAACCAAGAACTGACAGATGAGATTGCACGAAATAGAAAGTTTCTATAATGAAGAGAAAGCAGACAGAATGAGAGAAAATCTTTGCTAGCTATATATTTCATAGGATTAATATCTAGAATATATAAAAAGAAAACTTCAAAGCTAAATAACAAAAGAACAAACAACTTAATGAAAAATGGATTAATGTCTGTTCCTTACATGAAAAGACAAAGTACTCTTGGCCAATAAGAATGAAAAATTAAAAGTACATAGAGACTCTTGTTTAACTGATTTATTTATTTATTTATTTATTTATTTATTTATTTATTTATTTATTTATTTATTGTGTGTGCAAGCGTCGTGCCTGCACTCACATGCTTTGGTATGCCTGTGGATATCTGAGGAGAGCTTGTAGGATTTAGTTCTCTCCTTCCAGCATGTGGGTGGGATCCAGAAACCAAACTCAATCATCAGGCTTGATGGCAAAGTACTGGTCTAACAATGAGATTTTGTCATTTCAGTCAGCAAGAGCACATTAAGAAAATAAATAAGGTCAGGTGGTGGTGGTGCACGCCTTTAATCCCAGCAGTCAGGAGGCAGAGGCAGGTGGATCTTTGAGTTAGAGGCCTGCCTAATCTATAGAGTGAATTCCAGGACAGGCAGAGCTATACAGAAAAACAAACAAATGCTATCAAGGGTTAGGAAGAAAACAGGACCCCTCACACTGGTGGATCATGTAAATTAATTCAGCCACTGTGGAAATCAGTACAGAAGCCCCTCAAAAATAAATAATAGAGAAAGAAAACCCTAAAATCTAAAAGTAGAACTACCACATGATGCAACGGTTCAAGGATTCTAAGCCGACACACCACAGAGATAACGTGCACATCCATGTCTATTGCTGCGCTAGTCACAAGAGCCAAGTTACAGAGTTAGCCTAGGTGCCCATCAACATGTGAAGGGATAGAGAAAATATTACATGGGCATACACACACACACACACAATGGAATATTAGTCAACCACCAATAAGAATGAAATTATGGTATTTATTGGAAACTGGCAAATTTTTGGTCTCCATAGGAAACTAGCGATCATAAAATTAGCCCCATACACATTCAGAAAAAATGAACACTGTGTTTTTTTTTCTTTTTAGGGAACACTAGATTATATATAAATGTTGTGGTGGTTTGGATGAGAAATTCCACCACTCCCACGCTGAGTCCACAGTCAGTGGTGTCATTTGGGGGAAATTATTGGAACCTTTAGGAAGTGTAGCCTTGCTAGAGGAAGTATGTCACTGTGAGGTGGGTTCTGAGGGCATATAATCTCACCCCATTTCTTCGCTCTGTTTCCATCTCTCTTTGTCTCTGTCTGTCTGTCTGTCTTTCTCTGTCTCTCCCTCTGTCTCTGTCTTCCTCTGTCTCTCCCACTCCCTTTTCCAGTGTACAGATAAAGTGACCCTACTATCATGCCTTCTAAGCATTATGAACTCTATCCCTGGGAAACTTGAAGCTGAAATGAACTCTTTCTTCCTCGAAGGGTTTTTGGTCGGAGTGTTTAGAATGGATGAATAAAATCATTCATCCATATGGAATTAAACAGAGGTGAAGTTATATTGAGAAAGAAGTGAAGTAGCATGGGTGGGGAGAAGAAGGAGAGAATGATGAATATTGCCATACTAGATAGCCCTCCTGGAATAAAAATGTCTCTAGGAACCTATTCTACAGACAATGAATAGACACCAATCAAAACTTAAAAATAAAAATATATATATATATATGATCTGTTAGTCACTTTGGACAAGGGAAGGAACTGAGAATGAGTTACGCCCTACTTCATTAATGAGAATGTCTTCCCGTGTAGGCTCACAAGGCTTTAAAGCCACTTTCGTAACTTCAAGGCCCTCAACAGCTTCACCCAGCAATGTCACCAACATGAAGAGAGTCACATAGCTCATCTGCCAGCTTCTATCTCTCCTTTGAGTGCATTTACTTCTTCATCTGCTCATCTGACCAATGGCTGTACTAATTTATAGCAGATAGAGGGGACAGGGCCGCCAGCAAGACAGGAGGAGAGCCTGCAGACACCGTGAAAGCATAGCTACCAGCCTCCAGAAAACCAAGGGAACCCATTCATCTGGATGCCCGAGTCAGAGTGTGAAAAGTCTGTCGCATTGCTGAACCCTCTAAACCTAAGTACTTCAGGATGCACCAAGGCTTTCAGCAAGTCTGAGCCTAACTAACTGACTGAGGTTTAAAGATTACAAATATGGTCTCAGCCTAACAGCATTTAGTGGGGAAAGCGCTCCAGCTTTGTTTTCATTATCTGAAAGCAACTTAAAGCAGAAAAACCACAAGGTGGAACCTCAGAGTAAACAGGAATCTTCACCACATGCAATATTTGAAATGGAAATGTCACTTCTGCTTCCCCATCACGGGCGATTCTTGGTCTAAGTAGCAAGACTGATTTGTTCTCTCTCTCTTTCTCTCTCCCTCTGTGTATGTGTCTGTCTGTCTCTGTGTATATGTCTCTGTGTGTCTGTGTCTCCCCCTCTCTGTCTCTTTCTATCTGTCTCTCTTTCTTTCTCCCTCTGTGTATGTGTCTGTCTGTCTCTGTGTATATGTCTCTGTGTCTCTCTCCCTGTCTCTTTCTCTCTGTCTCTCTCTTCCTTTTTGAGACTGTGTCTCAAGTAGTTCAGGTTGCCTTCAAAAGCCAGGTGATTTTGAACTCCTGATCCTCCTACCTTCCCCTCCTGAGTGAGAGATAGCAGGCCTGTGCCTTCATACTTGATTTCTGTCCTGCTGGGGATAAAACTCAGGGCTTCCATGGCTAGACAAAGACTCTGCCAATTCAGTAATACCTCCAGCCCTGACCTCTTTACTTTTCTCCTCCATTTCATTTTGCTATAAAGAAGAACAAGAGATGTCTGTAAGGAGAACTGAAGACTGCACTAGAAACACGCAGCAGAGAGGAGGAATAAAGTGGTCATGAACGAATAATGTATATAGATGCCACGGTTACTATCTATTCGGCACTGAGGTACCAGCAATGGTTCTTAGCACTGTTCATCTTTTTTATAGTTATTCAGTTGGATTTCTTCCTTCCTTTCTTTCTTT